TGGAGATGACATACTGGAAGGTAAACGAGTGGTTTGTGAAGAGACGGGATGCTGCTATAGGGAGGGAGCGTGCTGGTCATTCAATAGCTAAGCATATATTTGATGGCATGCAGAAGATCGAAGAGAAATCAAGTAAGCACAGAGTTGTTCTGTTCAACCGCAATGAAGGTATTTTTTCTGTGCAAACAGGTATTTGGGGTGGAGGAAGACGTGGGCATAATCGTCAATCCGTTACTCTACACGTAGAAACTCGCACCGGAGAGTGTACATGCCAAAAGTATCAAAACAGAAGAGTACCTTGTTCACATGCAATGGCAGTAGCTAAGTCGATAACCCTCAGCGCTTACAGTTTGGTTAGTCCTTACTACACGGAACAGGCGATCAGGAACTCCTACTCGTCAAGTTTCAGCCCCCTGCCGGATGAAGCTTATTGGCCTGTAGACAATGGGAAGTTGATTATCCCACTGTTGCACTTAAAGCGCACCAAAGGTCGTCCTAGGACCGAAAGGATTCACAATGAAATGGATCAATCACAACGTGCCCGACGGGGTCCAAAGCGTTGCTCAAAGTGCAGACAACCGGGTCATGACAAGAGGCGTTGCCCAGGTCCACCTCTAGAGCAAGATCCGGGGCCAATTCCGAACCAACCTTGATGCTGATGTTGTTCACTTCCTTGTCATTTTCGTTGTTGTGATGTTTAAGTTGGACTTCTTGTTTTAATCTTGTTGAGTGATTGTAATAAAGGGCGTTTATTGTTTATTTTGGTACAACATGGGTGGTAAAACTGTACAAACCCAAACCAAATTTAGACGACATAGATAGTTCATGGAAAGCAACACAATCCGAAACCAAATCCGGCAACATAGATAGTTCATGGAAAACAACACAATCCGAAACCAAATCCGGCAACATAGGTAGTTCATGGAAAACAACACAATCCGAAAACAAATTGAGAAACATAGGTAGTTCATGGAAAACAACACAATCCAACACCAAATTTAAACGACATAGATAGTTCACTAGTTGTCTTCATTTCCCTCCACTTCCCCTTCTCTTCCTCTTCCTCTTCCTCCACGACCTCCTCGGCCCCTTCTTCCGCCCTCTCTACCTCCTCCTTCTTCACGAGCCCGCTGGACAACTGCTCGCGGATTCCTCTTAACCCGACCACCCACCGGAGTGTAGACAGGTGGTGGGGGTGGAGGTGCCTGAGATGGACCAGAAGCGTGGTAGAAAGTCGATGATGTATGTTGTTGTTGCGGGGTCTGATACTGAGTAGTTTGTTGCTGATGGTGGAAGTGAGGGGTGCCTTGGGTGAACATGTCATGTTCCTGAGTCGGGACATAGCTTGACGACCCTCCGGTGCCCTCAGTATTAGTAGCCCACTCACAGTGTGGCCATGGTTCAGGAAGTTGAGTTTGTTGAGACGGATGAAGCTCTTCAATGTTTTCTCTCACTCTTCTTCTGCTCCTCCTTGGGGGCTCTTGTGGGGGCACGATCCTCTCATCAGCACGGAATGAAGGTCGGGCCGGAGCAGGCATTGGAGGGTATAATACGACATCCCTCCTTTGCTCTCTGGTACAACAGAGCAGGTTGTTGAAAAGCCTGCGCAAAAAAGATGTCTTCCGCTCATCCATGGTGGGATCACTCTCGACAGTGTGCTTGGCATGTTCCAAACCGTCAACCTAATAAATTGTTGTACAAAATTAACTAACATTAAATCTAATAATGATTTCTATCATCTAATAATGTTAATTAACATTCTAGCTAATATAGGCATGTAATCATATTACAAAAATTAAAACAAATAGGCCAAAATGGAATTCACTTACCACTGCCCCCCAAACAGCACCTTGCTTTGACACCCATCTTAGCGTGAAGTTCCGATACCACCGCATGTAGCCATCGTGGTACCCCATTGGCCTCGTCTCCAGCACCCCTTGTACAATCCACTGATTTCTATTCTCCCATATGTTGATGTAGAATTCATGCTTGCGGGTCCAATCCTTTTTGGTGTAGCGTAGGTCAATGGCGTGGAGCTCCCTGAACCCTTGAGGTGGGGATGCTGGAATTGGTTGCTCCAATCGATATTGCCTCAAAGATCGATCGGGCAGGTGCCATTCCACCATGTGCAAGCAGATTAAGGGCACCTTGCACAACCATGTCTCTTCATCCTCAGGATGTCTAAGACGATGCAACTCAACCACTTCATTTGGATATGGATCCCATACCGCCTACAATCATTATAGTCATGGAATTAGTAAAAATTATATCCACTCCACCTAAAAAATTGAAAATCATTAAATTTTATATTTTTACCTGGTTCCACCAAGGCTTATCAAATTCAGCACGATAAAACAGTAAAGAGTGCTCGGGCTGGTGGTCGTTTGTATTTGCTCCGATCCACCTAATTAAGCAAAAGTACGTATATAAGCAATTTTTAAAGCATAGATGGATACTTGTTAAGTATGATTGTATGGAAGCATCTAAATTGAACTAAAATTCCTTACTTGGCAATAATCTAAATAAGCTAAATACGATTTGGTTAGAATAAATCTAAATTTGCTTACTTAGAAGATATCTAAATTCACTAAAATACTATAATTGCAGACTTAAAATGTCTCTAAATTCGCTTAGTTGGAAGATAGCTTAGTTCACTAAAATACTAAATTGCATACTTAAAATGTCACTAAATTCGCTTACTTGGAATAGATCTAAATTCACCTAACTAGCTACCATTGCATATCTAAAATAAATTCAACTTAAATTTAACTTACTTGAAACCATATGGGGGATTTGCTACAAATCGTAGCTCATCATCTGCCAACCAGAATTCCCGAGGGTCTCGAGGTGCGAGAAATGGAAGATGCTCCCATGCTTAGAGCTGGAGTATGAACATCGCACCACCAGCTTGTTTCGCTCCCAACTTCGAGCAAGTACACAACTCTCGGTAGATCCCAGCCAAGACGGCCGACCCCCAGCTTTTTTGCCCGATCTCGTCCCAGTCACCGAGGAGCATATTTAACCACATGCCTTGTATCCACCGGTTTGACTTGTCGGGGAACAGAAACCCACCAACCAAGCCAATTAGGTAGACACGTGCATACCGCTCCGGCTGATCTTCAGGAGTATCCGGGCCTATATTAACCTCCATCTGGATGTGGTCAACAAGCCACGGGATCGATACTTGTCCCGCATTCAGTGGTGGATGCCCCTGACCTTCGACGGGCGTGGTGGTCGGCATGTTGAACCCCAAACGTTGTTGAATCAATGGCCCCCAACCATCTTCTGGTTTTCTCGAGTTGTCGATGATGGCATCTCCAGTGATCGGGAGCCCGGTGAGGATGGCAACATCTTTGAGGGTGATCGTCATTTCACCCTCGGGAAAGTGGAAGGTATGCAGCTCGGGGCGCCATCGCTCGGCCATTGCCGTCAGCAGATCATTGTCAATATCAAGCCTCATAAAGTGCCTCAGCATGTGCAATCCCGTCCTCTCTAGATAGGGCTGCAGTCGAGCATTCCAACGGGGCAATCGACATGTCCCTCGATGACTGATGGGAATAAGTGATTCCTACAAAACAAAAAACACAATATTGTCAGTCAATAGAAAGAAAAATAAAAACTTTAAAACTATTGAAATAATTTTAGTGTGTCTACCGGATTATTGTTCCAAATTGAACGGAAGCGATGTTGATCTTGCCCGGTTAAATACCTTCGATCCCTTGGGCCAGGATCGATATACAATCTAAGGTCGTATATCTCAGCACCCATCTATAAAAAATATGAAATCAAATCAATTTAAATTTTAGCACCCATGTAAAAAAAATCACAAAAGAATAAAATAAATTTACGTACTCTCAAAGCCTCTTCGTCCATTTTTTGCCGAAAAGCTAGCGAGAGTATCGACAAAAAACAAAAACTCTAGTAATTCTTTCTGATGCGGAAGATCGGACTTAGTCGCAACCACAGAGCATACTTAGAACGAAACTAGAGTGAAGTAATGGAGGGAGAAAGAAGTATAAAATTTGGTGGTGTGGTTTGGAATGGGGGGGAGTGGTATTTATAGGGGGGAAGGGAGGGGAAGGAGGCGCTGGAAATTTAAAGCGGCCAATCACCGCTTTCCTCGGCTGTAGTGACATAACCGCTCTAGTCAAAGGCGATGATGGGCGGATCGCTGACGTGGCGAGGCGTGAGGCGTCGGATCGTGGAGAAAAACCACAATCCGCGCCTCACCGCATCCAACGGCAGCGGTGAAGGGCGCGGATGGCTGAGGTGGCGGGGCGGGGCTATCACCGCTTTCGTCTTAGGCGGTGAAGTCCCCGCTCCTCGCCACGTCAGCGATCCGCGCCAACTTCACCGTTTTTCCCATCAACGGTGATAAATGCTTCACCGTTTGTCTCATCAACGGTCAAACTATCACCGCGTTTGTTTAGGGCGGTGATAGCTTCACCGTTTTGGACCAAAACGGTGATAGCATCACTGTTGTTGTCAAAAGCGGTGATGCTATCACCGTTTTGGCCATCACTGTCTTGGTCTACAACAGTGATGTTGAAACTGCTGTATTTTGGGGAAAAAGTTTATAAGTATTGTATTTGAGGAATTTTTTTTAATAATTAGAGTATTTTGGGATTTTTTCCCTGAAACTGTGACGATTGACAACGACACTGCAGCGGCCTTTCTCCCTTACTCATTTCGCCGGACGTCGGTCCCGTCACTCATCACTCCGGCAGTCCAGGTTAGTATAGTTAACCTATTCCATTTGATTGGAATCGGTTTATTCAATGTGGTCAATTTTCGCTCGCAAAACGACCCAGGACCCAGTGACAGTGCCTAACCACTGGCCGAACCGTGCCCGAGTTCTCACGCGGTTCGGTTTTTTTTTTTTTTGGAAAAGGAAGAAGAGCCGTCAGGTCTTTTTTTTGAAGAGCCGTCAGGTCGCCGGGAACTATATAGCTCCATAGTTCACGGCGGGAGGCAAGATTTCCCTTTGCTCCACCTCCACACACACACAAAAAATCCTTCATTCTTTAATTGATTACGACTAGTTTCCGCATTTTCTAATCGCAAAATCTCGGAATCGTCATTTCTCTCTTCGTTCACCCTTCCCAATCTCTCTTATTGCTAAACGGGTAAAAAGGCAGGGGAAAAAAGAAAGCCTCCCCCTCATTGCCCCTTTTCCTCTTTACAGCCCTTTCAAAATCTGGTAAGCTAGCCCCATTTTCTCCTTGCTTTCTTGGATCGAAGGGTTTGCGTGTGTTGTGTGTTGGCTCTGTGGGGAATGTCAAAGTTTGGAACTTTATGGTCTGATGCTGGTTTCCTGGACTTGTCACAGATTTTACCCTGAGAGGGTTTCTGGGTCTGGTTCTAAGAGATTGTTTGCGGGTATTCGATTGTTTGGAGGTACTAAGTAGAGAGGAATGGGGTACATAGGTTCCCATGGAGTTGCAGCTCTTCATAGATACAAGTACAGTGGAGTTGATCACTCCTATCTTGCCAAATATGTCTTGCAGCCCTTCTGGTCACGATGTGTTAACTTCTTTCCTCTCTGGATGCCGTAAGTTGGTTCCCTTTTCATATTTCTGCTTTCAATGTGCTAGGTAGTATGAAGGGTGTCGGCAAATGTTCAGCTGTTGTCATATTGGTAGTGGCTACCTTAGTTTCATGCTTATGCTTTCACTCTGATTTCGCTTTATGAAGAGTTATGATTGTTCCTCAGTCACCTCTAACTCTGTTTCTTCTTTTCCTTCCTTCTTCTGGACTTCTATTTGGTTCTGAATCTTTGCTAGACCAAACATGGTAAGATCATCCTTACTCCAAACACAAGGTTATAATTTGAGGTTTCAATGGTGGTGACTATGTTGTACCCAGACATCTAAGTGGCTGCCCTCTTCCTTTTTCAGATAACACTGACAGGATTCTTGTTCTTGGTTACTTCGGCATTGCTTGGTTATGTGAGTGGGGATTGTTCTGGTGGCATTTTATTAAGAAAGAAGCTGTAGTCTGTGTACTTCTTCGCCAGTTTCTAATATAATGATTGTGTTTCAGATATATTCACCCCATTTGGATACAGCTCCACCAAGATGGGTTCACTTCGCACATGGATTATTGCTGTTTTTGTATCAGGTTTGACTTCTGTAATTGCAATGCGTTCCCATGATCTTTTGCTGGTCCAGTATGTTGGGTTAATTACTGAATTGTTCTCCAAACTCTTCACGAACTTAATAGACATTTGATGCGGTTGATGGAAAGCAAGCAAGAAGAACAAATTCTTCCAGTCCATTGGGCGAACTGTTTGACCATGGTGATTTTCTGTTCTTAAGTGATTTTCACAGTCTTCTCTTTGTTTTATTTTATTTTCTGACTTCTCTTTTGTGTTTTTCGCAATGAATTGCAGGATGTGATGCCCTTGCTTGTGCAGTGAGTGTTGCCCAATATGGATTCTATAATTTCGTATTTTGAAACTTCTTTTGACTTTTTTTTCCTGGCGTTGTACAGTTTGAAGCCATGGCTTTTGGTAGCACTGCAATGTGTGGAAGATACACGTTTTGGTTCTGGGTCATCTCAGCTATTCCATTTTATTGTGCAACATGGGAACAGTAAGCAGGCTAAACACATACTTTGACCAAATTCCTGATGATTGGATCTCCCGATGTTGATTTTCATGAAGCTTATTTTTGTATTCTTCGATCCAGCTTTTTCACCAATACCCTCATTCTTCCGGCGGTTAATGGGCCTACGGAGGGTCTGATGCTAATATATGTCGCTCATTTTTATACTGCTATAGTTGGTACGTTTTTTTCCTACTTAAGCTGCCTGTGTTGTTCCTATCTATTTATTTTTCTTTTGCCTATTTATTTCTTTTATGTCTCTTTAGTCTTTATAATATAACTTGATTGCTTTTGATTGAAGGTGCTGAGTGGTGGAGTCAAGATTTTGGAAAGTCTTTGCCCATTGTAAGTTGGGTGCCATTTGTTAGTGGTAAGTACGCAAATTTAACTCATGGACCAATATCTTATTTGCTATAGTTTATGGACTCTAGGAGAAAGATTTGTCTCCTTGCTCTTCATAAAAAAATGCTTTGCCTCCTTGCTTTGTAGGCTGATCAATTTCACTTAGCCGGTTTCATTTTGGCTCTATCACCAAGTTCTCATTCCCCTGAGTTTCTTGAATGCAGAAATTCCAACTTTCAAGGCAGTGCTCTACTTAATGATAGCTTTTGCTGTGATTCCAACACTTTCCTTCAAGTAAGCATTCTCTTGTTGCCATGAATGGAATTGTTATTTCAAAATGGGATTGTGATTTCTTTCTCTTGTTGCCATGAATAGGTTAACTGTGCTCTGACTTTGGGTTCTTGTTTTTTACTGTTTACTTCAACTTGATATTATCATATTATTGTGCTTTCAGTTGTCATGTTTTATATTGCAATTTGTGCTTTGGCAGTGTGTTAAATGTTCACAAAGTTGTTCAGGTTAGAAAGAGCAGCATGCCACTGGCATTAGCAATGGTAACTCTATAACATCCTTGGTGAGTTTCCTTTTCCAGCAGTTAGTTAATGGGCCATGGATGCCTTATATATTTTCTCATTGATGCCAGCTTTACCCCTTCTTCGCGCTGATGGGAGGAGTTCTAATTTGGTATGCAAAATTTGTGCTGCTTCATTGTGTTATAGTTGGTTCTTTAATTTTTGAAAAGAATCTTATATTTCATGCCTTGATGCAGGGATTATTTGTCTCCATCCGATATAATGGGAAATTATCCTCACCTAGTTGTTCTGGGATCTGGGCTAGCATTTGGATTTCTTGTGGTAAGATGTCCACTTTGTATGTAAGACATTTTACAGCTGATGCTGAATTTTATGAGACCTGCAATTGACGTGAGCGACTGGAAATAGCACTGAGCAAGTCCAGCCATAAATCTTATGTTTTTTCTGTACCTATATGTATTTATCTAATGTATTATTTTAATCTTTATTCATTGTTCTCATGTTGGTTCTTTTTATGAAACCATTGGATGAGAATATTCAACTTTTCATCGGTGCTGAGTAAAGGCTTGTTTTGACAGGGGAGAATGATTCTTGCTCACTTGTGTGATGAACCAAAGGGGTTGAAAACCAACATGTGCATGGTATGTACAATGTATAATTATTTCAGTAACCTAGCAGTTGGGTCCTATGACATCATTGTTTAAATTATCTGCTAACTTTTTGCAGTCCCTGCTTTATCTACCCTTAGCCGTTGCAAATGCCCTCTCAGCAAAACTGAACGATGGGTATGCTCAAATTTCATATTACTTCCCATGACTCTTGAAGTTCCACCTAGTGACACTTGTGTTGACTATCCATTGCAGAGTTCCTTTGGTGGATGAGTTGTGGGTTCTTCTCGGCTACTGTTCATTCACAGGTTTGTTCGTAGTTATCTGCAGAATACCTTGTAAACCTTGCTGGCAAACACTCTGAAACAGTTCTACATGATTGCTCCTTTTCTTTTAGTGTTTTCCCTCTATTCATTCTGAACAATTGTTTGCTGTTTCATTATGCAGCTGGTCTCTATTTGCACTTTGCTACTTCAGTGATTCATGAAATTACCACTGCCTTGGGGATCAACTGCTTCAGGTGAGAATCTTTTATATCTATGGTTGTGCATGTTCAGCTTCGTCTGAATTGATTATATATCTTTGTTAACTTGACTCTGATTCTCATTGACAGGATAACGAGAAAGGAAGCTTGAAAGATCCAGTTTCGGACTTGGTATGACCCTCTAACCCGCAACATTTCGGGAGCACGCTTAATGTGTTTCTGGAGTGGTTCAAAATAGATCGAGGAACTCGGGCAACAGAATCATAGCTTTTGATGATGCAGATGTATCAACTTGGGGGAGTCTGTGGAGGAAGGAAGCGAGATAGCAACCATGGGAAATGGGTTTCAGCTTTGAGGATTTATCTGTTTGATTTTATGACACATGTTTCTGTAAGGGGTTTAAAATGCATAACCGTTCTCCACAGTTAAGGGGATGGGATGTGGTCCGTTCAATCTTTGTAGTTGGGTGGTTTTAGGTTACTTGTGAGGCATATGGAACTGAGATCATCTCAAACAGTGCTTAGTTTATGATATTGAGAAATAGTTATGGTCACCTTTGGCAAGCATGACCACATCCTGTACGATCTATGATCAAAATTTTGCTAGGCTTCTCAATTTCAGTGGCAGTATAACTTCTCTTTTTTCGGGCTGTTCATCAGCTCTACTGCTTCCATTTTCTGTTACTCCGTCAACGTGCTTTCAGTTTTAGGCTTGAGGATGATCTAGTCATTGCAATCAGTGGTAGAGATAAGAGTAAAACAAACCCAGCTCCTTGTAAGAGAATACAACGGCTGATGTGAAAAGTGAGGAATTTACATGGCTTATGAAAATGTTATATCAGAAGATTGAACTTCTTTACAAAGGGAGGTCAATTAATTCATTCCCATGAGTTTCTTATACAAGATTGAACCGCCTACCTGTGATGCGTCTCTCCAAAGTAGCTAAAAGGAGAACTATCTACCTGTAGTGCGAGATAATTGCAGTTGCATCATATTCTCGCAGTCAACATGCCAATTGGTTGTGGTAATACATGATGCTGATAACAACTGCAGAGCCACTGACTCATAGGGCCCTGTCAAGCCATGCTGGCAATCTCAACAAACTTCTCATTCCAAGGCGAGTTAGAAACACGGAATACAAGAGGTGCAGTAGGAACACAAAGAATCCGCTGTTTATCAATACCTGGAGGGGAAACATTCATCAGAAAGGAGTAAGCATGTTATAAGATATGATTAGCAAGTTTCGGATACAAAAGAGATGGGGTCAAAGCTATTAACTTACAAGAATTCCGAACAGTGCGTATATGAAATTCATCGATGGAATGGTATTAATGCCAGTGGCAGCAAACACATAACTCAGAGAGGCGTGGATGTTTACTGTAATCTTATAAACAAGGAAAAGCGAAAGAAATTCTGGTTAGTCAAACAAAGCAGAAGTGAGCCCCTTAGAACTGTTACAGAGGTGGAAGAAGGGAAGACTTATACCAGAGCAAGTATGTTTTCTCGTATTAAGAATGAGGACGTGAAAACATATCCCATGGCGCCAGTTGCTCGAGCCTGCAATTGTTAGGACATCCTCTGTTAAGAGAAACATCAGGAAAATCCCACAGAAAGAAAATTGGGCACAGTAATAAAGAGGCTTAAAGGAAGCAAACCCTACTATCGTGCACACAAATATCGAAACTGTCCAGTTTGCTTGTAAGCTGAAAGATGGCAACAACCAAATCCAGAGTTATTGGAAGAATTTGATATCAATAAACTTCTCCTTCACGTTTTCTACAAAACAGTAGTAAATCTTATACCAGCCAAGTGTTACACGAAAGAGACATTCGCACAATTTGTTTGGATTATGAGAAGATTTGCTCCCAAACAGAAATGAATAGTAGAACTCAGGAACAAGCGAAGTCTATAGGAAATCTTTTCTTCTCGTTGGTGAAGGATACGAAGGCCGTAAAACTACTTCTCAAAATCGAAAATCACTTACCTCCACAAGGAGCCCATTGTCAAACCAAGTATGCCATGAGTCAGCTGTCGAAAAGGCCAAACACGTAAGAAAATGACCAGCTGCTTCTGCTCAGAGTGGAAAAGACTAGTTCCAGTAATCCTAGGTGTGAACAATTATGCAAAAATCTAATTTTATCATTCTTCTTTCAACAGGCCAAATACACCTAGACCACTCTCGTTCAGTGATTCAATGGCCCCATGAGAAACAGCAGCCACTGAACTATTGATTGTCCATGACATGTAACAATTCAATATCATCAGAATCAAGAGCAATCTTCGATTACTTAGCCCCCTTATATCCAATAACAGCTCAAACTGAAAGCAGTTGCTATTTGGCTAAATAACCTGCTTGACATGCACATTCCAAAAACAAGGCATATGTATGCTTTAGGGGCGCTGAAGATGCTAACTCACCAGATAGGTTAATGCCTTAACAGGACCAGACAACACAAACAAGAGCATAGCAGTTGCTACCTGCCAATACAAAACTGATCCAGCTCAATTCACATTTCTTCTACAAATTTGTTACATAAATTTCTCAGAATAAAGAAAGCACCAACCATAGTTTTTCTCCCTGCTGCCACACCCCATCTAAGTGAAGATATTACAATTGGCAACGAAAAGAAGCATCCGAAGTAATTCTGCAGAAATTCAGAATCATAATCATCAGAAAACCTTGTGAAGCTCATCCTAAGAGATTTTCTTCACTGCCAAACTTGCAGGAAAGACAAGTACCAAGTATGAAAGACTAATCAGGAGAGAACAAGGAAGCACAAAATTCGTAACTAACGATAACCCAGTTGGTAATCGTCGAAGAAAAAGAAGAACCCAGTTGGTAATTGAGTTAGTGGAATCAAGAAGGGACCTCAATCGAAAGTGAATTGCTCAAAAAGTAGACGAGACCAGTGACAGCAGCAAACATAGAGCATTCAACCAGTCTCAGCGTATTGCGGTAGACATCACCATCAGGCGCCAAGTAATCCGTCTCCCTCCCATCATTGGATAACCCTTCTTCCGATTCTCGTTCTTCTTGACGCTCTTCCTCTTTCCCATCCACAACCGAAGCATTGATTCTCGGGATACTCGAAAACTTGAAGGTGGGTTTACGCAGAGAGAGTGGCAAAATGGTCGACGAACTGATAAGGCTCAATCTTTGTGTCGAGGGTAACTGGACCGTTGCAGAGAGGTGACGAAGATGGGGAAGTTGGTCGACATGTAAAATTCGAGGCTGGTAGCTACCGTTGTGGATCCTCAGAAAATTCATGTCTTCCACTGAAGGAAGCTAGAAAACCTTCTTTGCTGATATAATCATTTGAGAGCGGGAGAGATGGCTCTGTTGATTGGCCATGGCCCATGGGCCATGGGTGCGCGCGACTCAGCTTCCGGGCTTTTGGCCCATTTTCCTTGTCGCTTTGTTTTGGGTCAGCCAACCACATTTTTAGACACTTCCATCTCTGCTCAAACCAATACCTTCCTTGGGTTCAATGTTTGCTTGTTGGCTCCCGCTGACAAAACATGGAGCCGCCGGCGAAGGACTAGGTGATCGCCGGCAGCGCACTAGCCACACTTGGAATGGCTCTCAGTTTATGCAGATTGGCTGTTTCGCTCCCCTTTCCTCGAAAGACTCGAGCTTTACCTCGTAACCTTCACTCGTGCACCTGGGTCTTGAAACCACATACTGCAGGGTCGAGTGCCCACCAACTGTTTGTTCAATTGCCAATACCAGATACCAGAACCGCAACAAAGTTAATTGGTCAGTTAGCAAGACAGAAGCAACACAGAGAGGCTTTATCATTGTTTTCTGAAATGATCTGTCGGAACATTAGACCCAGTGAGTTCACTTTTGGGACTGTCATTCCATTGTCCACAGCAATCAAGGACATCGAATTGGGGAGGCAGTTCCATTGTTGCGCTATAAGAATGGGACTTCACTCTGTAGTCTTTGTGGGAACTGCATTGCTTGATTTTTACGCAAAGTTAGTTTCTTTACATGAAGCTCGAACGGCATTTGAGGATATAGACCACCCGAATGTTGTCTCTTACACAACTCTGGTACATGGGTACCTGAAGAAAGGCTCTTGCAAGGAAGCTCTCAGGCTCTTTAACCGGATTCCAGAGAGGAATGTGGTGTCCTGGAACGCGATGATCGGTGGGCTTAGCCAAATGGGTCACAATGAAGAAGCTATAAATATCTTTGTTCACATGCTGAGACAAGGCGTAACACCTGTTGAATCCACATTTCCTCGTGCTATCATTGCTGCTTCAAATGTAGCAGCAATTGGAATGGGCAAAAGCTTCCACGCTTGTGCTTTCAAAACGAATTGCCATCTCGATGTGTTCGTCGCCAATTCCCTGATCAGCTTCTACGCGAAATGTGGGGATATGGAGGATAGTCTCTTGGTCTTTGACAAGCTTCCTGACAGAAATGTGGTCTCTTGGAATGCTGTGATTTGTGGGCTTGCACAGAATGGAAGAGCAAAGGATGCTTTGATGTTCTTTGATAGGATGCTGGCATCAGGTTTTAACCCGAACGATGTCACCCTTATGGGTGTTCTATGGGCTTGCAACCATGCTGGTCTTGTCGATGCAGGCTACTCACATTTCAACCAAGCAAGGATCAGGAACCCCAGCGCATTGAGACCTGAACATTATGCGTGTATGGTTGATCTACTCTCTCGCTGTGGTCGATTCCAGGAAGCTGCAGCATTCATCATGAGCTTGCCATTCGATCCTGGTATCGGGTTCTGGAAGGCATTGCTCGGAGGGTGTCGAATACACTCGAACGAAGAATTGGGCGCATTAGCAGCACGAAAGATCTTAGCTTTGGATCCTGGGTGTGACGTTTCGTCTTATGTAATGCTGTCAAATGCTTACTCTTCGACGGGCAAATGGGGTGAGGCATCATATGTAAGGAGAGAGATGAAGGAGAAAGGGCTAACGAGGGTTAGCGGGTGCAGTTGGATTGAGATCAAAGGTGAAGTTCGTGTTTTCACTAATAGAGATGAGAACTGTAAGCAGAAGGATGATATTTATAGGATGCTGAATTTTTTGGTTGAGCAATTGGTAATGGCTACTGGCCAGTAATATCTTTGAACAGGATTTATGTTTGTGTACAAGCTAACATGCTTTCCTGTATTCATCAATGTAGAGTAATTTATTAATCTTGATCAGCTTCTGGGAATTTGGCCCATTTTCCTCTTTCTTCGGCCTGCTTGATGAGGCCAACCACAAATTTTAGATAGTTCGATCTCTGCTGCTCATGACAACAAGTCAATCAACAACAACAAAACCTGCCCAAACCAAATATGGACGAACCTAAAGAATGGAGCAATCGGTTATTGAACAACTAAGAAATTTTGCGCTTGTGACATCCAAATGAAAAAAGGAAGGATGCTCATGAGAACTGGTTATGGCGTTCACAATCAGACTGTGAAAACAGATTTACAGATACCTGATCGTCCCGGAGGCAAATAATATGGGGAACTCTTGCGTTGACTGGGTATGGTCGGGTGTGAGTAAAACTTCAAATAGTTTGATAGAGATGGGGAAGGTTTGGCTTTAGACTCCCCCGTCCCATATATGTACTACTCATATCAGCCCCAGAAAGAGTACTTCTTAATATATTAAAAATATAGTGATCATATTGTAACCTCTCACTTGCGGGTAGGGGTGGGCATTGGGTGGGTCGGGTGGATTTTGACCATAAAATGCACCCACCCGCGCTTACACGGATTGATAATTTTTAACCCACCACCCACCCACATTTAGTCTCGGGTTGGGTCGGGCGGATGGTGGATGATTTGGGTGGGTTTGTGGGTTCACCCACATCACAATGTATATAATATAAACTTATAAAGGAGTCAACTTGACATGATAACAGGCGAAGAGAGTTATCTGGAGAAACAAGAAGATGAAATAGGGCGAAAAATGTCGAATTAGTTCTTAATATTTTTCTACAGATTGAGATGATTACCAGGTGCAAGGAGCTAAGAAAAATAATTCCACAAAGGAATAGTGATCTAGGCAAAAGAATTAGAGGAAAAAATAAAGGGAAGAAGAGGGGATCGCTATTTGGAAGGTTGGCTTTGAGGTTCGAACTCCAGGAGCAGTCCTAGTTTATGTCTAACGTCTCCACTCTCCCTTCTCTAGAGTCGACGACTTTGATCTTTTTGCTGTTGGGTTGAGCGGGTCACCCGCGCACCCACCCACAACCCACCCACCACCCGGCGGATGGCTCCTAGCGCAACCCGTCACCCACCCATAGACCCACCCACTTAACGAAATTCGGGTCAAATGCGGGTGGGTCGGCCCAAACCCGCGGATGATCCGCCCGCATGCCCAACCCTACTTGCGGGAGTGGTAATTCAGAAGAAAATTACAGAGTCGAAATGTAATTGAGTGGTCACCCAAACCAAACACTAATTCTTTGTCTCAATTCTCCATTCACGCGCCCTTTCACTTATTTTCCCTTTGTTAACAAGATTATGTTAGTTATTTCTTGATCAATAAATATGCGGGTCGGAGATGAATGATTCGAATTGTGTTGTACTTATCGATTAATGGATATTTTAGGATTAGATGCTTTGAATTTGTATTGAGAAAGATTGTATCTTTACTGATTTCATGATTTATTAGGTATGTTTAGTGTTATAAATGAAAATCTACATGTTGAATTCTACACATAGTAATATTGGATATACAGGTCGGGTATTACCCACGAGTACCCGAAAACTGCATCAATGGAGTTGGAGTTGCAAAACCTCCCTCACAAGGGTATGAGATGAGTATGAAGAATATTTGGAAATGATAATGCGGATGGTTTATGGAAATCCTCCCAACCCCACCTCATTGCCATCCCTACTTACAAGTTACAAAGCACACAACCATCAGATCACGTGTTAAGCGTTTCATGTAATCAAAGTGATTGTGCACCCTAGGATTAGATGGTGTTGTGAGTACTATAGCTATTTTTTTTGGGGGGGGGGGGGGGGGGGTTGTATTTTTTAAAGTCTCTAAGTCAAGCATCTCATTTGCTGCAATAAGATACTTGACCAAAATACCATATTATCCAAACGATCCAATCAAAACACTTCTTCATAAGAGTTTTCAAAATGTCAATTTTTCTCTCGTTGAAATAAACATAAATAGACATTTTAGTGTATTAAATAAACACATATCTACGTTAGCCTACCACAGTAATAACTAAATTCGATATTAAAATCTTCAACAAACTTAATCAAATAGGTGGTGAGGTCTAATTGAAAGAATGATTCCTGAATAAAACCCCATAATTCATATTTGTAATATTCTCTGATCATACATGTAAAGATTGCAACTCTCAACCACGCCTAATTGCTATATTATTATCATTGTTCTTCAAGAAAACCACACTCATGTTTTGCTTTGCAAAGTATGGTGTTGGTATGTAGCTATTGGTGGATCATTATGGGTCCCCATAAAAACGTTAGACAGCAAGATATGATGTAAACGATTTGGAATCCAATCATTACAATTCCAACCCAATTCGATCTGCGGCACTCTCTTTTGGGGGAATTCTTTTATGCAGAAGAAAGGTTGGTCCCAATTATAGTTCTTTTTTTACAGCAAAGGTCCCTTAAATATATTCCATACCTATAAAATTAGGACACAATCAAAAGTTAATAAATAAACTATGAGATGAGATTCAAGAATAATAATCTAATTATTCCGGAGATATGCTATAGGGAGTGATTCGAACAATCCAATTTGCTCTCGATTTTGATTTGCAATTGAGGGAGAAGATTTTCAGACATCATGCAAAATAATGGCGGACATCTCTCCTGAACCAAAGATGGTGGAATAGAAACAAGGGTCTTCAGAAAAGTATCGTCGTCGTCTGAGCATGAAGACCGATACCCTTGAGGCAATCTCACAGTTTCAAGTAAAACATTCGCTTCAACTTCTATCTGACTGGAACATAGTGTGGTCCCAATTAGTTCTCGTGAGAGATTTTACATATGTCATTAAGTCATTTCTTTACATACTTTATCAAACAAAAGCCAACGTGTATAGGTTTGAAGTCTACATAACTCAAACTATTAAGAGAGTTTAAAATATGGATATTTTACCATATTATTACACAATACTCACCCCATGAAACGAAACCAACACATCACCTTAAAATTTACACACACACACCAAATAATTTACTTAAATTAATTGATCATAAGAATTCAAATACGGAAACCTCTTAATCAGAGACGATACCAATTCAAAAAAAAAAAAAAACTCGTCGATTCCTATCATTCAAATTATTGAAAGAATCCTAATATTAGATAATAGGGTAATGTCTATTTTTTATCCAAACCTTTTTCACATTCTTTTATATTATCCAAATCTATCGAAATACTAAGAATTAACCAAATGATAACTTTCAGTTAGCAATTTTGTTAGTAATATGGACTTGGCAACATGATACTGACTTCGAAGAGACACATGAAGGTCAACATTCCAAAAAATTTCGTATTTTAACTACGAAAAGAGTTATAAAATTATTAACAATAACGTAAAAATGACTAATATTTTTATGCATTATGAAAGATTTGGCTAATTAATAAAATTTTAATAGGTTTGAATAATATAAAAGAATATGGAAAAGATTTAAATAATAAATAGACATTTTTTTTTGATAAATGGATGCAGAGCATCTCAGCCTTCATTCATAACCAAACGGGGTTCGGAGAGCCCCAAAGTGTCATACAAAATCCAAGATACAAGAGTAGAATCCGTGGTAGGAAATATGTTATAACCCAGAGGCATCTGATGACCTCGACTAGCAATATAATCAGCACACTTATTACCTTCTCTGTAGATATGAGTGAGGGAGACTTCCCAGTCCCTCTGTATTAATTCCTGGAAACGATGGGAAACCGCAGTATGGCGATGATCATGTTCCTGCTGCCGTTGAAGAATGTCCACTGCGCATCGTGAGTCAAATAATAAATAGACATTGCTCTAAATAATATGCATACAATTCCTATACATCATCTCCTAAACAAAGAGCTCGCAATAGAAGGAGCCAAAAGGGAAGTGAACCAAATATAGTTCAAATTGCTGGGGTTGCTTTTCTCTTATTATTGTGTTTAAGAGGCTTGTAAGCTTTTCAATTATTAGACAGCAAAAACAGCTGTTAATTAAGCGAGGCAAAGACAAAATGGAACATAATGATGACACTCATTGGTGGGTGCATTGCAATTTGCATTATGTAGATTTCTATCTTAATTCCATCGAGAAAAGGAAACTAATATATAGAGAAAGAAAGCTAGCTAAAGTGAAGAAGAAGAATATATATGAACAGAGACATGCCACAGGATAGAACAGAACACAAATTGGTCTTTTTTAAGTGCCAATGATGGATGGTATTGTATTTTGTAGTATAATCCATAAGGTGGTTCGGTTCGTGCATGCTTGGGAGGCGTGCTTGGTTGGGTCATGGGTGCTCCCAACATCCCATGTTTTTCTCGCTGTACAATTAGATGCAGTTAAAAACGCGATTGTACGTAGTGTATTAGTGATCTAAAAACGTAAGTTTTTAAACTTTGAAGCGTGGGTTTTGACTATATGTGTAAGTGAAATATGCGATTATACGTAGAAGCATTTTGATGACCTAATAGTGTAAAAGCGTAAATTTTTAAGTTTGAAATCACGATTTTGACTAAAATGACTAGTAATACTGTAGTAGTGTTGCTTTTACTTCAAGGTCCTCCAACTCCTGCATTGAGTAATATATATTCCGCAAACTTAAGACCTCTAAGTTGAGAACCAGTGTGGTCGTACCACCATAACCATATCAAGTCCTTATTCGCCAGATTCATGGATTTCATTTTCTCCTATAATTAGCATACGAGATGACCAGCTCCGAGTTCGTCTCGCAAGTTCATCCTGATCGATGAGCATTCGTATTCCATACCAATTCATCATTGTTAACTATGAGAAGTCCATACCTCTTACTTTCATTTCAGAACCGATTCAAGTAGCACAAGTTGTGAAACAGAGGGTACAAAATAAGACCAATTTTTTAATTTCAAGTGTCAAAAGAGAAAGAG